AATACGATTTCCACCTATCAAATACAGCAAAGTGTAAGAGATAAATTTGCTATCTAGTATTCGCACACCTCATCATATAATATTCTTAACAGATATGATCTCTTTATATGTATTATTTCAGTATGACTGCTCCTAAAAATGAGACTTTTCTCTGGTTGATGTATTGCTCATTACCAGTGAAGTGAAGCTGAGGTATATTTTGGAGTTGATATTTTTCTACACTTGAAATTGTACTTGATAATGCATTAGGATGCATTTTCCCATTCATTTAATGCATCTGCTAACTAATTTCCATCTTTCCTTAGGAATAGACAAATGAGAAATGGTGTTTATTCTTGAAGCTGTCACCCATGAGAAATGCAGAGTTTACGAGGCTGGTAGACATATAGACCCAACAAGATGTTATAAAAGAGGTATTATCAAAGTGCTATGGAAATTGCTAGTTACAAAAAGTTCTTCTTGGCTGGTGCCACGGCTTACTAGGTTAATCTTCCGCCTGCGGCGCCGGCACCCCGGGTTCTAGTCCCGGTTGGGGCTCCTCTTCCAGGCCAGCTCTCTGCTGTGGCCCGGGAGTGCAGTGGAGGATGGCCCAAGTCCTTAGGCCCTGCACCCCATGGGAGACCAGGAGAAGCACCTGGCTCCTGGCTTTGGATCGACGCGGTGCGCCGGCCGCCGCGCGCCGCCAGAGCGGCCATTGGAGGGTGAACCAACGGCAAAAGGAAGACCTTTCTCTCTGTCTCTCTCTCACTGTCCACTCTGTCAAAAAAAAAAAAAAAAAAAAAAGTTCTTCTGTAGGTATTACTCTGAGTTACCAGAAATTCCTGCATGCAGGGGACTTTGTCCTTGAAACACTCATGAATGAAGATAGGCAGCTGATGGAAGATTAAATATTATCATAGCACCCTTTTATGTGTGAAGCCTGATAGATTTGGATTATGTACCAACCAGCATATCTAGATTATAGTATCAGGAAAAGTCTATAGACAGTTGAAGATTTTTATTGGGATAACAGCTGGGGACTGTTTCTACTCAAGAGCACATTATTCAAAGATACATTTCTATAGTGATAATCAGTAAATAGGATTGCTCATATATTCTGATGATAATAACGTGACATCAAACAAAGAGATTGTGGAAATGGTAATGTTTTCTGGGTGGTCTGAATTTCTGTTTAATAACATCTCCAGCGCCATGTGAAAAATGGAGAATGTCAGGATCTTCAAACAGCAATTGAATAACACAGTGGTTATCAGTAACCAGGATGTAGAACTGGATAAATGCTTTCAGAATTTTCTAACCCACTACTGTTTCAAGCAAACTATAGCTGTAGACAACACGATTCCAGCTTGGTTTTGTAATTGTGTATGGAATTGTTACTATTTTTTTTCCACAGATAATCTTAATATAGGCTCTAGCAGGCCAAGTCACAAATGATTGATATTTTAAATGGGGATTATTGCTACCAATCAAAGGATCAACTGCCACACTGTGTTCAGTGTGGAACGATTAGTTGATCTGCTTTGTCCCTGGGCTGTTACAGAAGCAAACAAAGATTATAAACAAAGGAGAGATGGTCTGTAGATCAGTATGTGTTTGTAACAGGAGATTTGTTTTTGTTTTCTGTTTGAGCCCTAATTCCCAATTTATTTTTGCAAAATTTTATTGGAGACTTTCATAGAACACAGTGGTTTCATTAATTAAAGAGACCCCCTCCCCCATTCAAGTTTTCTTAGAAGGGTGGTAACCAGCCCATCTCCGCCCTCATGTTACAATACTGCACGTGCTAATTAATCTGTGTTATGACTTGAGAGGAAGTCATGGGAGTACTTCATAATCTATACTTGGGAACCTCGTTTAGAGACTGTCTTCCTCATTCAAGGGCTTGTGGTGATTTTTCTGAACTTAGTCTCCAGAGAAGAATCTGTATTTCTGATTTGAACCAAGGTGAACTTTTGCATCTGTTCCAGTTCTCAACATTCCTCTCCCATCGCTGTCTGCTCGCTTGCCAGTAATTTCCCCTTGCCATTTTATCATCATGTGTGAATTCAGCTAACATGATGTTTGCTCCCGCTTGCAAATTATTAGTGAAGTAAACTGTGAGCTGGTACTTTTATCTTTAATAATTGATGCTGGAAAAGTGACAAACGCAGTGAAAGCCTCTGTCTAAATCAGTTCCTGTCATGCATCTCTTTCGTGGCTCGGTGTAGGACTTGAAATGGGAGCGCTCACATCTCTTGCAGCAAGTTCTCACTGACGGGATAGACTCCTCTGCTTGGTAATCAGAGCCCCCTCCCTGGTCACAGATTGTGATGGCATGAAGCAAAGGATCTCACAACAGGAACAAGCCAGAGAGATCAGTCTTCCTCATTCAGATTTGATCACTTCATAAGGAAAACCATAATGAGGAGCAAATATATTGGCTCATTGAAATACTCTGTTGACTTAAGCTGGAAACACTTTACCGTTATACTAGAATTTTTTTCATAAATTTTAAATGAAAATTTAAAAGTTATAATAATGCAGGTATAGCGAAATAAACATTTAATGCATTTAAGAATAATATGTAGTGCCAGTTCCTTTATATGTTACTACAGAAAAGTGAATTTTAGGTATATTTATAAAGTTATGTCGCTTATTTCAGATAAAAATGACAAAGATTGATGTGTCAGTAGACCCTAAATGGATGTGCTTTATTATGACCGATATGCCTATTTTTATTTTCTCATGGTTTAAATAAAAAGCTTGTAGCTTTTGGATGATTCACAATGACCAGAATCTGTGATACTCATATCATTATAAGGATATGGTAGCCAAAATATTTGCTCCAATTCTGTGAAAGAAACCAGTAATAACATGGTTAAATTGATTTGAAAGTATAATTCTATATAACATGAGTGAATAAAATATATTCCGAGTTACAGAAACAATTAGGCAGTCATTGAATACTTTTCTTGAATGTTCAAAATCTCTGTTACATCTGTTCACACTAGGAGGAAATCTCCTATAAATAAACCACGTCTTCAGGTACATGCATGACATTCCTTATCCGTTGGTATCCTTGAAATGCTGAAGCAACTTTCAGTTTTTTGGCATGGCATTTTTAATAAATAGTGTGTTTAAAAACCAGCTAATGTTTTTTGTTTTTCACCAAAATGAAGAAAATGTAGTTTATTCCAAATTGCTGTATTTTATGAAAGCTGTTGTTGAAACATGAATAATCAATGACCAGAATGAGTTACAGAGAAAAAGATTGATTTCAACAGAAAAGAAAGTAGAGATTCACTGGGACTGGGACTGCCAGGAGCTAAGGGGTGGGGTTGGGGTCCATTTGCCCACTCATCTTCAGGGGATTGTCCTAGAAGCCAAGCCCCAGACAATGGGATGTGTTTACATTATAGTGAATGAATGAAATTCTGAATATTTCAGAAAATTACTTTATATCCTTTTAATTATATTTACTGGAAGCATGGTATATCTCAGATTTTTGCCCAAGTTAATTTAAAAATATTTAATTATTATTTGAAATATTGGTTAATATTTTTCACTTAAAATATGCACTTATTTTGAAGCATGTTTATATAATAAGGAGGAAATAAAGAAAATGGAGAAAAAAAAAAAGAAAATAGAGGAAAAGAACCTTTAAGGGTTCAAAAGTCTCAAGGCAAAATACACACACACACACACACAAAACAAATTTTTAGTCATGGCTGATATACAAATGAAATATTTTGATGTTCCTAAATATCTTTCTTTAAAATAAGTTGATATTTTATATAGTTACTGCTTGTTTTTTAAGTTGCTGTTTTCACTGATACTGGAAAATGACAGGTGAGTTTCTATAATGACTTCAGAGGCAAAAGATTTATGATACTTAAGGTTATTTATAGCCTGCCTTGAAAAGAGTGGAGGGATCACGTAATTCACCCTCCTAATTAAAACTTGAAAAAAGAAATGCCTTCAATGACGGAAGAGAAGAATTTCAAGTTGGACTGTTCTTTAAACAAGGATAGCATAATTACTTCAGATACCTTTTATTATCAGGATGTCAGTTTGCTTTTACTGTTTTTCCCATGGTCTCCTCTCTTAGGCAATGGAAGTACGATTATTTTTTGTAGAGTTTCTTTATGATAGGATTAAGCTTTCAACCCAACTTATTGAATTTATATGGTTGAATTTTTGCTAAAAATCTACGTAGGGAGGTGAAATACCAGGTGAAGGAGGTTTGACAGTTCTGTTTTTACACAAGGTAGTCTCTGGAAGACATGCTCTGGGGAGATGTCCAGGCAGTTTCTAAAAGGCACCGTACCCTTTAGAATTCTCCGATGGCTTCGGTGGCTCTTTGGAATTTATAGTTTGGACCATTAATGTGAGTTCAAACTTTTGAGGTTTTAAGGCACCAGACACCTTTTTATTCTGTTAAGTCAGAAGAATGTCATCATTTAATCTGCTGTGGTATCATTAGAGAAATTAGCCCCGTTCTGGGCTGATATACCTTAGTTTACTAGAGATTGTTGTCTTTAGGGTGAATGAGTATGACATCATAGCTTTCCCCCCAGTCATAAAAATCAGCCACAGAGCTTTGGTCTTTTGCATTAATAGAAATATTAAAAGTGTCTATCAGTTTTTTTCTATCAAGTGCCCTGGGAAATAAAGTTTATTTGAATTTGTTTGGTGCATAGCGTCTGCAAAAGGCTTTTGCACTACTTTGGGATGTCATCATGCTTTTTTTCTCAACCTATTAATTAAAACAATAAAGATTTTACAAAATGAAGACAAAGATGGGAAAAATCCAATGGAAAAAATGCACGGGGTTGATCTGGTTATGAATGAGTCATTCTGTTTAGCATAAGTAAAAACAAGTGTTTACCTCAGAAGGGTTAAATCTGCATAAAGCCTACGAGAGGATTGCATGAAATTCAAATCTACTGGCCACCCACAGCATCAGCAGATTTACTTTCAGTCATCAAGATATAAATTAACGCGATAAAATTAAATCTTACCTGGCAGTGGTCTGTTTGAAGCTCAGTGATTTGAACTCTGGCTGGAAATAGTAAGCTTCGATACCTGTAAAGCCTTCTCTGCTTTCGTGTGTTCTCTGACTAGCGTGTTTTATTCTTGCAGTGTCTCTGTCTGTATTCTTGATAATCCTGTTGCATTAGTTAGGACAGCATGCGATTGATGAAGACTCCATTTGAATAGGATGATAGACAAAGGAGAGTGAATTTTGCCTTTGCCTGATAACAGCAGTTGATCTGACCACAGACAATTTGAATGTTCAGAACTTATTAAAAATTCATTGAATGTTTCATCAATGAGAAATCCAGGTTGTTTCTGCAAACGGTCTGCCCTCTGGAAAAGTTGTGCTTGTCCATATTTCAGAATCACACACAATCCCAAATCGAGTTGCTTTAGAACAATTACCTGCGCTGGGAGCATGGGTGTTCTCTTGCACGCTCTTGCATTCCTTATTTGCTTTTCTCTTTATCAACTTTTCAGTCTATTAGTTTCCTTTCTGCAGAGAAGATGAAAGAATTTCTTCTTCCGTCCTCCTTGGGCTTCTGTAACACATAGTTCTTGTGCACTGTTTTGTGAATAGTGAGGGAAAAATCCAAGAGGAGGTACGGCTTTATCATATCTCCGGACAGTGAGCATACTTGGCATGAATGAAGAGCTGATAGGAGCTATTCAAACCAGACAGCAAACTGATGGGATGACGCTTTCCTACATAATAAACCCATTAATTACTTCTCCTGATGGACACAGTGTGCCCTGCAAGGAAAGCAGGAAGGAGCAGATGCTCATCTCGTTTGGATAGGTGCTCTCTGAGCAGCTTGTCATTGAGAGGGGAATCCAGGAAAAGCTGCAGGCTTTGGAGTGTGATCAGGTAGCATGGGCAAGTTATTTTGACAGACAGTTATGTGACGTATTTTGGGAGGAAAAAAAGAGCTTAGCACAGAGGTGGCTGGTATGAGGTTCCAACAGTTTTTTTTTTTGGAAAATGTTTACTTTCATTTTTCCCTTTTAATCTTTTTGGCTGCAGTTTTTTTTTTTTTTTTAAATTTGTGTAAGGGTTGCTGTGTATTTTATGCAGAATTTTGCTGACTTGTTTTCTCATCATATAGTTTTTCCTAACGAGGAATTAATTAAAAAAATCTTTGAGACAGAGTGTGTTGTGAGCTTTAAAAATTTATAGGAAGGAAAAGGCTGCTTTGTGTGAAAGGCACTCTTGGATATCTTTGGGGCACGTGTGTTCTGTTGCTTTGGAATAAAGCCTCATGAATCATCGTTTGAGATGAAATTTAAAACAAGATCTTCATTAAAATTTTTTGTTAAATTAGTTGAAATTCTGATTAGCTGTATAAAAATAGATCTAAAATGTAAATGTCATAATTTTTGTGCTTTATTTTTTAAATGTCACAAAACTTTTTTTTTTCTTACTTGTCTGAGTCCTTTAGGACTGTACGTAGACACTAGGATGTTTTATAGTGAGAAATGATGAAAAATTTCAGACTTATAGAAGACTCTTGAAGTAGGCAGGCATACAGGTCTTCTCCGATTTCACTCTGAAACACGAACCTCTGTAAGCACTTTACCCAGATTTAATCAGTATCAACAATGACTCTAAAGCAAATCTCATTTCAGCCTTTCATACCTTAGCCTGCGTGTTTCAAAAGTATGGACTCTTTTTCACATGACCACTGTGCCACCATCACACCTAACACAGCAGCTCTTGAGGTCGTACAATGTCTAGTCTAGAAGCTATGTTTCTTTCAAATACCTCATGTCTCAGAAACTGCATATTGGTTTTTGCCCCAAGTTTACTGATTTGCTTTTATTTATTTGAAAGGCAGAAACAGAGACTCAGAGACAGATTTCTTCTGCTGGTTCACTCCCCAAATGCCTGCCACAGCTGGGGCTGGACCAGGCCAAAGCCAGGAGCCTAGAACTCAATCCAGGTCTCCCTGTGGGTGGTAGGGATCCCAGTATTGCCGTATCACTTGCTGCCTCCCAGGATGTGCATTAAAAAGAAGCTGGAATGGGGAGTGGATCTGAGACTTGAACTCAGGAACTGTGGTATAGGAAGTAGGTGTCCCAAGCAGTCTTTTTAACTACTGCACTGTAGTTTTATTTTCTTCCTTCCTTCCTGAGTCTAAAGTACATGCATTCCATTTTAATTGTTAGGCATTAGAATTTTAAACATTGACTTGGATGAGAAAAATCTTATTTGGATAGTATTCATCTATACACATTTGAGATATGAATATCTATACGAGAGAACCTATCTCTGGAATGTTTCCTTAAACCATTCCCACTTAACACCACATCATACCAAAAAGGATTCTAATTACACATGTCAAAGATTGGTCATTGATTGCTTTGTATTGGTTTTTCTTGACTTGGTCTGGATAATATAGTTCAATGTTCTACATCAAGCAATGGAGCCTGTTTTGGGCAAACTCAATCAAATGTGTTCTTTGGTTGGCTCTACTTTTGTTGCTGAAAAATACCATCTTGTTTACTTTATCAAAACAAGAAAACATTTCAGCAATACTCCCACTTCACCATTTGAATGTGATTTAGAGTTCTCTGAAGATCTTAAAATGAAGAAGTAAAAATATATCAAATGGGGTATTAGATTCATGAGAACCAACGACTGTAATGTAGTATACTTTTCTTCATGAATGTCAAGTTGTTTATCTCTGTGGCTTTTTGTGTTCCTATAAAGTTTGTACTACCATCCACTTTCTGATAAAGCAGATTATTTGATTACTTAACTTTTCCAGGAATAGCAATAGTATGAGACCCTGAAATAACTGCTGAAAATGATTGTCATTCAGATTTTCTTTCCCTCTCCATTTCTTTCCCATCTTATTTCAACTTCCATGAATGAAAATGGGGAAAGTGAAATATGGGGGGGCTATTAAAGCATAAATGCAAACATTTTTTCTGTGCCCCACTTAGCTCAAAACCACTACTAAAGACTGGGTTCTCATTTCTTGGGAGGACTATAGACTTCTGCCCTCCCAAGGTAGTCCCTCTTGGCTGTGCCTCCTGTCATACGTCATGTTATGACACGAGTGCTTGGTAACTTTGGGTTGCACTTTATGTTCTCAGGTTGTACCTGTCCCTTGAATTTGGCTAAACCAGAGTAAATGTATTTGTTACTTTCACATGTGTCAATCACTTGTTGAAAGCTCCATAAATAGTTACTATGACTATGATATACTGGTAAGTTAAATGTGAAACGCTGAGCCAAAATGCCTCTTTTCTCTTTTCTAGTTGTCTCTGGAATTTTTCTGTTGTTTATAATGCAGTGTCATTGTAAATAAGGGCACTTTGTAAATGTGCAGATTCTTCTGGAGAATTTTGATTGGTAAAAGAGTGTTATGTATGGGGAACTAGCTTGTTCTATGTAGAGAACTAGGATAATAGATTGTGTATTTTGGGTACAAATCTCTATTTCAAATCATTATCTCTCAGTGGCTAGGCAACAATCTGAATTAATAGAAAAGCACTGACTCAATTGGTGACCTATAGTGTTCAAACCAAAAATAGGTGCACCTCAGCCATTGTCAGAAGTGTTTTTCTTCAAGATTTTGCTGTTGATATCCACGATAGGGATTTTGTTAATAGAAAGCTGTATTTAATTTTTTAGGGTAGGCTTTCTATTTTGAACAAGGCTATGTCTATGTGAATAATACTCTTCAGAGACCTAATTGAGTAGCTGGTTGGGCAGATGACTTGTTTTCTTCCCCTTAAACATGAGAAGAAGAAGAAAATGGATTTTTATGTTCTCTTTGCGTTTAACAAAGCATGATTTTCTTTTCAGATATCTCAACTCCCACCTCCTATTGTGCAGCTCCTTTTATTCTCATATTTATTCTCATATTTAACCTAAACTGTCCCATTTGCACCATAATAAAGTTGATCAAACAACTTCACAAGTTTCATAGGCTGCACAGTTTTATAAATAACTTAATGTATAACAAGATAGTGATTTATCTCCATACAAGTGTCTTTCTTGGTCTGTACCTAGAAATATGCTCAAAGCTGTTTTGAATCTTTGCAAAAATATAATTATTTTCCAAAAAGAAAAAAAAAGTAGTTCCCTCCTTTATGTTTTCCAGTTCATAGTTAAGTAGCATTTGTGATTAATGATTGCTTCTCTGACCATTGATTTTTTAGGACATTTCAAATATTATATCAAATGAATGTACTTACTTTTAATTGATAAACTAAGAAAAGAAGTTATATTTTAGAGAATATTATAGGATCACGTAAAGCTCTTTCTAAACTGCATTTTTTTTCTGTTAAAGACATCAAATCTTTGTTGGCTTACTTGGGTCATGCTGGATAATTTGTAACACGTTAATTGTAATAAGTACTGAAGTCGATTCTATACCATCTACAAGGCACTTCTCCAGCTCCTTTGGCTGCTCTGTACAATGCATTCACCTCTGTTGGCTGTTGGTTACTCTGTTTTATAAAGGAGGAAGTTGAAGTTCAAAGAGGTGAAATAACTTGCTTGAGCTTACTTAGCTAGAAAGGTGTTGAGCTGTGGTGTGAATCCAAGTGAGGTGTCTCCAGATCCCAGGAAGATTCCTCAGTGAGAAAACAGATCACTGAAGTGTGAGAATCCTAGTGCAATTTGGAAAGAGTGGTGTCTCTCCAGCATGACCACCACTGTTCTAAAGTGGATCTGCAGATGCCTGGAGAGTGGACAGTCTTTGAGAAAGGGACATGGAGCTTATTATAGAGGCACACTCTTCTTCCTGTCTTCTGTGCTTTGATTTACTTATTTGAAAGGCAGAGTAACAGGGAGAGACAGAGAGAGAGATCTTCCATCCACTGGTTCACTCCCCAAATGGCTGCAATGGCTGGGGTTAGGCCAGGTGGAGGCCAGGAGCCAGGAGTTTCTTCTGGGTCTCCCATGTAGGTGCAGGGGCCCAAGGAGTTGGGCCATCTTCTGCTTTCCCAGGCACATTAGCAGGGAGCTGGATCGGAAGTGGAGCAGCTAGAACTTGAACCGGCACCCATATCGGATGCTGGTGTCAGCAGGCATACCACAGGGCTGGCCCCTGTCTTCCGTGTTTTGAATTTAGAAAAGGGAGATTTTTTATCTTTCCAAAATTGCATATTCCATTTTTTACAGTCTCTAACATAGAAATATGTTTTAAAATACTAGCAATTGATGTTCATTTAAATTCTTAAAAACTGGGCCGGCGCCGCGGCTCACTAGGCTAATCCTCCGCCTTGCAGCGCCGGCACACCGGGTTCTAGTCCCGGTTGGGGCTCCGGATTCTGTCCCGGTTGCCCCTCTTCCAGGCCAGCTCTCTGCTGTGGCCAGGGAGTGCAGTGGAGGATGGCCCAAGTGCTTGGGCCCTGCACCCCATGGGAGACCAGGAGAAGCACCTGGCTCCTGCCATCGGATCAGCGCGGTGTGCTGGCCGCGGCGGCCATTGGAGGGTGAACCAACGGCAAAGGAAGACCTTTTTCTCTGTCTCTCTCTCTCACTGTCCACTCTGCCTGTCAAAAAATAAAAATAAAAAAATAAAAAAAAAATTCTTAAAAACTGGTTGTGATATGAGGGGATGTGAACTAGATTTGTTGTATGTTAAAGTCGGTTATTTGGAAACAATTGCTTTCTTCAGATTTCTCATGTTCAGGTAAAATAATTGCATTTTATTTTCTAATTCAGATCTTTAGAAGAATTTTTCATTTCCAAGCTTCCTTGTCTGTCCCTCTATCTAAGCACACACCTGCTTGACTCGGGCCTTAACCTGTGTTGTGGTGCCTGGCCCTTTGCTGTCCCTTCTCCTGCTATCGACAACCACTAGAGGTCTCCGGACCACACTGGAGGAAGCCCTGGTTT